CTGATTCGCAATGTTTGTCATCACTTCAAGATGTCTACCGATTCGTGAAAAAGGCGTATTCTTCTTAGTTTAGAAAAATAAAATGTGTGCACCAGCAAAAAATGGAATTTGGAAGTTTAGTTTTGACAATTCTGTTTTGACAATTCTCGATCCTTTCAAATACCTAGGTTTGGGTACTCTGAATCAGCAACGCTGCCGAGCTATCCAGGCTCTAATTAGGCTAGACCTAGGCTAAACAATTGGTAGGCTAGTAGTTATAGATAGGGCCTACTTAGGCCTAGGCGAGCGACAAAAATCGACTAGAGTCCCCTGTCTAACCTAGCTAGGAGGCCGAAGCTAGGGCCCAGGCCTGCTGCTGGAGTGGGCTAGTCTTTTAGGTAGTACTAGCAGGCCTAGGGGACACAGAATGCCCATTCCCTACATGATGATGATTTTAATAACAACTCCACTTACCAACTCCTGCTTGCTTCCTACAGAAAATCAAATCTGGATGATGTTTTGCCATTGTTTAGTCTTTATAATGTCTCCTATTTTTCAGCGCATGTAGAATATGGTATCGTCGATGCGTCGTCGTGCCGCCGATCAGGCACAACCGGTGGTGGCGGTAGGTATGCCTATGGAAGGCTGAATCTGCCAAATACATTAACAACTCAATCACTTGCAAACCCAACAGGATTGGATTGATTTGATTTGATTCAATTCATAGTGGTATAAATGAAGTTTGACTAAGCGATAGATAATTATTTGTTTTTTACTACATGACTTTTGGTACTATTTTTGGACACGCGATTGATTACATGTAGACTGTTAAATTTTTGTGGAAATTTAAAGCCAACCTTCGCTTGTGCCCGGAGTTGAACACTTTAATTACTGCCGTCCCTTGGGGTGACATGTGCCAATGGTTTTATATTGGCTCTGTGCACGAAATATAACAGTAGCCACTGCTATTTGTCGTACTTTAAACTAAACTAAATTTAAATGTCATGCATAAGTTTCTATGCAAAGCGTTTCTAAATAAAAATCTTTTGGTGTGTGTTTAGGCTTGCAGTACCAAAACCAGCACCAGCGGCTATTTGCACATGACTGATTCCAGCGTGATAATATAACGTGCTCGTTATCATCATCATCATCATCGTCATCATCATCATCATTATTTTCAACATCATTATCATTTTCAACACCATCATTGTCGTCGTCGTCGTCATCATCATCATCATCACCACCACCATCGTCATCATCATCACATACCGGTAGAGTTACCGTTGTCACTATTGTGACACATCACTATCATTATCGTTTTTAGGTGCGTTTTTAGGTTATTTATTATTTTTTTTTTATTATTATTATTATTATTATTATTATTATTATTATTATTATTATTATTATTATTATTATTATTATTATTATTATTATTATTAATATTATTATTATTATTATTATTATTATTATTATTATTATTATAATGGTATTATTATTATTATTATTATTATTATTATTATTATTATTATTATTATTATTATTATTATTATCATCATCATAATCGTTACCACCACCATTTTCGGCAACAATACTGTAATCATCACCATCATTGTCATTATTATTATTATTATTATTATTATTATAATTCTGTCATCGTTATCATTATATTTACCATTTATGTCACTATCATCATCACCGTCATTTCTATCACATAATCAGCATTATCGTCTTCGTTATTATTATTATCATCATCAACGTTACAATTATCATAATTATCTTTTTTACATCTTATAATCATAAGCCTTTAACTATTATCAAACATTAGCATACTATTTTCAAGTTTATATTTATGTTATCGATAAAGGAAGTTGGTTAATTCAGTTGAATACGTTTGCATTGTTTCTAGTTGGTGTTTCATCTCATGTGTTGTAATTCAGCCCTTCCTACATGGCCAGGCCATTAATATGTTCTGCTGCTCGTTACAAATGACCATATTAACCGCATTGATGACATGTTATTGGACCGTTAAACCTTTATACACCCATGCTACTGTGTGATTAGTTTCCCTATTGTTATAGCAAACCCATATGCGTTTCTTTTTTTGTGCAACAAAATTGTTTTGTTGTCTAGTGGTAATGGGCCAATATGGTCTAGTTTCATTTTATCGTTTTTGTTTTACGACTACTCGGTGACTGTTACTTAGGCCAATGTTATAGAACGTTTCTTGGTTCCTATATCAGTGTCGTAAATACTGAGGTTTTGAGGGACCCTAGTTCGAGAGTACCGTCGGGGCCATTGAAGCATGATAAATTAACAATTACTTATATTTTACTGACTAATACCAACATCCACATTCCGGGCCAGAACTGATTTATGAAATTAGATGTTGTACAATTTCTTACTGAAGTGTCCTCCTGCAGCAACGCGCCGGAAAGCATTCCGATGTCTGGAATGGTACTCGATATTGACGATATCATGTATTTCTACACGTATTTACTCCTACCCTACACTCCTACTAAGTGGAGTATCACATATGCCATGGTGCTGCTTAGATTTCGATTCACTATATTTGGGTCTGCACAAATTAACATGTTCTAAAATTTGAAAAAAAAAAAAGTCTTCAAATTAAAAAAAAATTTAAAAAAATTAAAATATTTAAAAAAAAATTTAAAAAAATTTAATATTTTTTAAACAATGACAAGAAATATCAGATATCATAAAATATGATATGGGAAATGTGTAGGCCCATGACTATTTATACTGTTGTTAAAAAAATTAACATTGTATATTCAAAGACTGTTACCGGTACCAGCTAACAGTCCTTCGTAATTACTATGTAAATAATGATTATTATATTCGTCATATGCAATGTTTCTACAATGTATATATGATATTGATGTATGAATGAGAAATAAATCTTGGAAGATCCCACTAAAGTCAAAAAGTAACTGCTGAACCTTCGCGATTCTCTGGTTGGATTAATTTTCATGACTACTTCTCTTATATTCATGACTACTTTCCTTAAAACTTATTGGGTGGAATGTTGCTATAGCCTACATCCTATGTGCTTCAAGACGGCGCATCATTATAAATAACAGAGAGTTGGTTAACATTTTACAATATCTCTATCCTTGCAATCATCATCATCATCATCATCATCATCATCATCACCATCATTATTATCACCTTCATTGTCAGTATCATCATCATCCCGATCATCACAGTGGTCGTCATAATTACCATTTTTAATTTTTTTTTATTTAGTGTGATTTTTTGCATGTTATTGGTTATTGGTTTTCATTCTTAATTCAAATACTACACAAATCATTACTCACTTTTGTGACATAACCTGGCAGGCTGTGACTGACCCAATCCACGTGATGCTCCCAGAGGAATTTTATCTATTAGTTATCCAGACCCAGGTTATCGCCATTATGTAGCCAATCTAATTTTATATCTTTCTAAACAAAAGGAAAATGCCAGCTTTTCTTCTGCTGTGCACATTAGGACAAATACATTAGTATATGATTATTTGTACCCTTTTACAACAGAGGAATGCTCTCAGAAAGCAGATAAGGGAGGACGACAAAAAACAAATTGTGTATGATATGATTTAACTGTACCCTTCTACAACAGAGGAAACCTCCCACAACACACATAATGACGACAGAACATTTTTGTATACGATATCATTTATTGGTACTCTTC